ATTCTAGTGATCTCATGTTAACACATACCACTTGAAGTTATTCTAGTGATCTCATGTTAACACATACCACTTGAAGTTATTCTAGTGATCTCATGTTAACACATACCACTTGAAGTTATTCTAGTGATCTTGTGTTAACACATACCACTTGAAGTTATTCTAGTGATCTCATGTTACCACATACCACTTGAAGTTATTCTAGTGATCTTGTGTTAACACATCCCGTACTTTAGTTTAATACTGCTTCTTTGCCGTAACACGGGTCTTGCTCCTTTCTCTTTAAATCTTGATTACGTAAAAAGTTACGTTCAATATATACGCCTTAAGGAATGTGAACCTTTAAAATACTCGTACTCTTTATTTTGTTGTAGTCTTGAAAAATTGACCAGTCGATTATCAATTAAAAAAAATGTAAAAGATTGTTTGATATAGTCCAGAATTTTCCATATATATATTTATAGATTATCTTAGATGTTTCAAGTACAATATAACAAGCAATTTAAAGAGCATCTGAAGTATCTGTTGAAAAGTATCTTTAGGTACGAGTTAATGTTAAAACAGTGTGTGTTTTTTAAATTTAGACCCATTTTGTCCATGTTTCTTTGTGAGGGTGAGGAGAAAAATTGTCTGTGTTTTATTTGCTAAATTTACAAATGTGATAGGAAATTACTTTCTTTTAGTGGCACATATGTCATTCAGTCGCTTTGTTATACCTTTTAGGCTGTGTTGCCGTCATCCGGAAGAGCGGGTGGAGCTTAGCCATTTCCCACCAACTATGGGAGAGTATAAAGACGGAGAGATGAAAGGATATCTCTTTAAATGGACCAACTATATGAAACGGTATCAAAAGAGATGGTTTGTGCTGTCAAATGGAATACTTTCATACTACAGGTGTGCATCTTTATGAGTTACCATCAGACGTGACTTAGAAACAAATTAATCAGATATTGAACTGGTAATTTTATGTAGTTTTGTTAGACTTCTTTTTATTCTTGAAAACGTTTTTGTTAAAATGAGTAGACGTACTCACACCGAGATGAACAGTGGGATCTTGTGGGAAGTTTAGAAAAATTAGGATCAAACCACATATCTGATAACTATGTAGTTTCGGGAAAATTCTTACCATTCTTTAAAAGTTTTGTGTGAAAGCTACAGAAATGTTTTTGTTTGACAGATGCATCAGGTAAGCTTAGTTAGGTTTAGTGAATATAGTAGATGATAGCAACATATTCCAGTGAGTAAAATCATAGTTTATTGAATCTTATTGTTAAGTTTATCATGTTCAACATAAGTAAAAGAAATTACTGTTTATTAAAAAGATATTAAATATTAATTAGATTTAAATCGATTTTGATCAAAAAGGCTCATGTAGTATAATCTGATGTATGTTATCCAGAATTTTTGTTATTAAATTTGAGGTAATTGAATTCATAAGAGTTTCTTTTTAAAACAGTGAAGTCTTATAAAAAAACAACAACTAAAAACACAAGTTTTAATTGAAATACTGTAATTTTACTGTGTTAATTTTCATTTGAACTTTATAATAATGACAGGTGTTTGATATTTTTAAAATTTTGTCATCAGGAGTAGGGAGGAGATGGGCCATACATGTCGAGGAACTATCAACCTTGCCACGGCACGAATATGTACTGAAGATACATTGAGTTTGATTTTAACAAATAACGGAACACAGAACTTTCATCTCAAAGCAAATAGTGAAGTTGAAAGACAGGAGTGGGTCATGGCTCTGGAACTTGCAAAAGCCAGAGCTATTCGATTATCCGAATTAGGTAAATGTTTTAAATTTTACGGAATTAATCACAACATTTTGTGAAATAAACTGGCAAACAAAATTTTTAAACCTTGTAAAGGTATGTGAAATAATTTGTCAAAATTTAGGTCAAAGTACTTTCATATATTAGCATCCAGTTTTATTAAATGTATCGAAGTGGATCTTTGTTCCCTGTGTTTACAGATGCATATTTTCACTTTTATGGTATTTTTTTCCACCTATGCAATAATATTACATGTAGGTTTAGGCATTTAAACTTTCAACAGTTAACATGAACATTAATGTTTGCATTTTGTCCCCCCCCCCCTCCCCAACATCAAGTATAAAAATAAAGTCTTAAAATGGTACTTAGCATAAAGCAAACAGTTTCATTTTACCTGCTAATTTAGTGTACAGGATGAGATTGGGCTGTATTGTTAACACGGCAACTCGGAGATTACCCTCTACATGCAAACAAGATCGCTGTGTGTTGATTATTGTCAGAGCAAAAATGCTGGCTCACACAGGTATCTTGATGTGAGAAGCAAAAGCACATCACATCCATCAGGATATTTTTTGTGAACAGGCATCCAGAAGTTCCAAAGAGGTTTTAACTTGAATTATGATTGAACATTTGTATCACTACATGATTCTGTGAGCTTTTCTTAAGCTACTATTGGCAGATGAGAAGTCATGCTGCCGTTAAATGGATTCTGGATCTAATTGTGTTCTTTTGTTGCTTCTTGGAATTTATCTGCAAATTGATACGGAAGTTTTTCAAGGTGAATAGAAACAATGTCATGAATAAGACTGTGATTTAACAAACTGACAAATGTGTAAAAAAAAAATTCTTATGATATCAGTCACATTGTTTTTTGTAAGGAAAGTACCAATGTCTAAGAGCTACATTCCCATATCTTTGGTTTATGAACATTATAATATGATAATTAGGACTTGTGGTTTACCTCATAGCTAATGTATCTCTGTGCTCTAATTAAGAGAAAGGTTTTGCTACATGGGTTTTTGAATTCTTATAATGAAATATAATTTTTAAACATTGCGTTTATGATATATAAACAGCTATTTCATGCTCAGTTAATCATATCTTGTCTTTAGCTAGCAGCAAAAATAATAAAGATAAAACAATAAATACAATGTACATTTAATTAAGTAAATAGGGGATATGAAATATTTATTAAAAGGTTCATGGATGACTAATCAGCGCCACCTGTTAACTCGGTTCCTTTAATACAATATGGCAAAATAATCAGTGGTTTGAAGGGCAATTACTTTGTTTCGTAACTTACAGGTTTCAAATTATTGCTAGTAAACAGTAACCACATGCAGTGTTTCAGGTCAGCTAATAGCTACTACTCAGAAAAAAGAAACGTATTAGATTTCTCACGCCTGGAGTGAGAAGACTTTTGCCTGTTTGTATGACACTTTGAATAAAAAACTATTTATATGACAGTTTAGTTCTGCACTGAAAGATAAAAAAGAAAATCAAATACACAACATTTCAGCTGTGTAGCCCCTCTCTCTGTTTACTCTTCAGCATAGAATTAAAGTTTACTTATTTCTTTTGCAGTTCACACACTGATGAATTTCATCACTGTAAACTGTCTGTGTATATACTGTACATCTCATTTTCCCATGTTAATTGTTACTACTATATTACTTCATAGTGGTAATATTTGTACAATAGTTTTTAAAATTTCTTTATTATTAAATTTATACTTTCAGATGTAATTTATATGCTCCTATAGTCATAGTGTGTGTCCCCGACCAATTCTCTGGGCCCTCCTTGTGGGGTGAACCCCCACAGTTTGCTCACTTAAGAAGTATTATTCAATGAATGTGAATCGTGATTTTCAGCAGTACACTGGAACGGCTGAAGGGTTTTATGTAATATTTTTATTTTATAAATATCAGAAAAGTATTGTGCATGCACATTTTATCTATTTATATGTTTTTGTGAAAGAATAAGAGTGATATGGCAAATTATAAAATAATTTTGTTGTTTTTTTGCATAATATGCACATTAATCAGGCACAGGATAGAATTATCAAGAATAGTGTCAGATTGAGAAATTGAAAATTTTTTGATTAGCTCTTTTTTTTTTTGTGTTAAATTGTAAGATTTGATTCTTATCCCTGATAAAGCTGGGCAATTAGTGGAATTTACTAATCGATTCCTTGTTGAGCTTCTTAATCAACTATATTCAACTAATCGACTGTTCTCACAAGAGGCTCGATTAGTTGAAGTAATCCAAAATGGTGATAATTTTGATTAGTTAATTATTTTCATGAGTTTTCACACTAATCAGTTACTCTGGACAGTCTTGATTTAATCAAAAATAATAATGAGAAATAATGATAACCATAAATCAGTTACTTGGATAATTTGAATAATCAAAAACAGTATCAATCAGAGGCTCTAATTTTGATTAGTTAATTATATTCATGACATTAATTAATTTAATAGATGGTCATAGGAAATATAGATTAAACAAGTTAATTGTCCAGCTTTAACCTTTAACCAAATTTGTTGGTAGCGAAAGGTGTTCAAAATATCATCTTGCAAACAATAAAAACAGATCATGTATATGTTTTTTTTTCATTTGAAATGTATTTTTAACAAGGTTACTAAATCAAGATTATGGTTTCTGTGGAGTAGAGCAATTTTCTTGAATAAAACAAAACATGAAATAACAGTCCACAGGGTTGTTAGTGGGCTGATGCTGTATCTCGATTCTTTGTTTACAAAATTGGACAATAAAATTTAGTTTGTATTGACTGGACTGTATGTTTTTCTATCAACAAAACAATTTCTCTGACAAAACTGAGATGCATTCCCAGTGTGCCACTGACCTATAAAGACCTATGATCAATATGGCAGCCATTGCAGCCTCGTGTCATGCAATTTAGATCACGATCAAATTTTCTAATATTCTTCTTGCTAGCCTGAATTTGCTGATAATTAATATCCAGTTATGTAATTTAAACTTTAAAACATTGTCTTAGTTTCTCAGTTACAAATATTTTATGTCTATATACAACATGTGAAAATGTAGTATTACTGTATGTGTAACATTGCTAGTCAAGGCCAATTAAAATTATAGTATCATAGTCCTAGCAGTCAACAGGGTCACAAGAAGTTATCTGTGAGCTTGTCTGTGTATATGAACAACTGCTGATTGCGTGGCCAATGCCATGACAAATAATAACAAGATCTTAATTTCAAAGTACTTATTTCTTGGTAAGAATAAAAGAACCATTAGTGGGCCCTAAACAGCAGGCATCATGACAGACTTGATGGGGGCTCTGATAAGTCCTCTCAAAACTCATCTTATGGGCACTTTTGAGCATCAGTGTTATGGTACCTGTCAAACAGGAAGGACTGAATTAACAAATTTACAGACACTTGTAAGAGCAGAAATTTAATATTTACTTAAACACCATACTGAGACCCTTTCTCACAACTGATTTTTTGAATGCAACTCCTATGTAAGATTATAAAAAAGTCAATGATCCAAGTGAATGTTTAAAATCAGGAAAGCATAACTACACATTTTCTTCAATAATGTAATTGATTTGATTATTTTAATGCCTTGTGCCCGCACTGTTTATAAAATCAAGGTTGTTTATGAACAAATACAGTTTTTAGTGGTATAATTATATGTGAAATCAGCATAAAGTCAGTCACTTTAGATAGATTTGTATTTTGAATTTGAATCACCCTACAGAAGAAGAAGAAGCAAACGAATTTGTTCAAGTGCCTTTACCATCAGAGAAAAATGAATTTCAAAAGGCAATAGAAACCTTAAGTGCTAAATTGGAAGACCTGAGCACCTGTAATGAACAGCTTGTTAGGCAAGGCTCAGCCCTCGAAAAATCACTCGATGAGGCCGACTTCAATCAGACGAATGGTGGCCCTGATGTTCCTGTCAAACAACTAAAAGAAAGGGCATTGCTTTTCAAAGCTGCATGTAATATAATGATCAAAGTAAGTTCTTTAATGAAGTAACTGCAAATTCTCTTGATATGAAGATATTAGAAAACTTTAACTTGGCAGTATTAGAATCCCAAAATATTTCTTGTTGCAAGGTAAAGCTTATTTTTTAGGCCTAAAAATAGGCCTAGGTTTTCTATTTTTAGACAGGAGAATAAGTGAAGAATGTTTGTAGGTTATAAAATTATGTATATATAATTTAAATGTACATGATACACTTCATTTTTGTAAAGAGTGAAGCATATTCAGTATTTCTATTTAAAACTTGAATTTCATTATACCAATTTTGTGGCATACCAGCCACTCTTGAGAAACATCAATTGATACCATCTTCCTTCTAACAGAGATGTGAGAGTATGTCAAAAATTAATGTATACTCACACAGAAATTTAATGACCAAATTTATATGTATTTATTTTTACAGTGTTGCTTTTACGACAGTTTTTGTTGCGATTGTAATCATACAATGATTTTAACTGGTAGTTAAGATTGTTTCCCAATGAAAACGTATGCATGCCTAAGGATTAAAATTGGAAAATTATTGTTTAGTGATGTTCTAAAAGAATACAATGTAAAAGTTGTTTTACATCTTTAAATTTGTGTAGGAAAAACACTATATCACAAACAGTGTATTGCAGGAGCAATCCGTTCATCTCTAAAGCATATACTTTGTTTTATATATTTTCAGACTTGCACAGAATACGTTCAGCTAGCACAGAATGATTACTATCGATGGCAGAAAATTTTAGAACATGAGCACAACCGAAGGGTGTGTCTGGAGGAAACTGTGGAAGAGCTGGCCAAGGACAACTCTCAGCTGGAAGAGAAGGCGAAAAAAGTGACGGAAGCTCAAAGTGTGGATTGCGTAGGTAGGTATTTGGTTTCAGTTTTTATATTATTGGGGTATTGTAATTGCAAAAGATTATATAAAAAAACATTTTTGTGTACTACCAGCACCATTGTATAATGTTTAGTGTAGAATTAAGATATAAACATAACGTACTGCTCGCTAACTGTGTTTGTTTTGCTGAAACTATGGGTGGTGTGGAAGGTGTGCATGGAATCTGTTATCTGTTGTGTCGTACGTACAGATAAATTTTATCATGCATGGAAACCATGTAAAGATTGTACACTAAACATTCACTCTGTCCATAATGTGTACCTGAACAGGTGCAACATATTGTAAATTTGTGACATTTATTGAAGTGTATTTTGTTATTTAGCACTTGCAATATAGGAAATATAGCACTTAAGAGTGCTTTATAATGATATAAATTCTACTTAGGTTTATAGATTCTAAGTTTGAACACAAATTACCAACGACCATAATTTATTCATGCCCTGTTGTTCCAGCTTGACTAGGGTTAATGTTCTACTTTACAACATTTTTTTATATTTATGACATTTCATGGGTGATCCACGCATTTCACATTAGAAGATTTTTTGCCATTTTGGGTTGATGTACTTAATTTGGCAAGATATTCGTTTCTTTATAAAAACCTTATTTTTAGCTGGCTTCTGTTATTTTGTTATTAGACACACTTTTAGTAAAGCTTTTAAAAAAAGCTAACTATTTTCCTTTGTTGGTAAAATCAGTTTTTTTTTAGGCTTACTTGATGCTTACAACAAAATTACACGAGGAAAAATTTCTTTAAAAATAAATACTTTCCTGAATAATAATCAGTGCAATTATGAAACATCTCATGATAAATAATATTTTATTGTGTCACTTTTTGTACCCTTTTAATCATTCATCATTTGTCCAACTTATCAAATGTTCTGTACAACAACTTTTTGCTAATACCTGCTGCTATTATATGAGAAACTGTTGAAAAATAAAAGTCGATATGAAAGTGTAGTCCTTTCTAAAGATGAAATAGGCAGTCCGTTTGATGAAATGGCCTGTCGTTAACCCGTAACTCCTATCTTTTAAACATTTTTATAGTTTTTCATAATTCTGTCATACAGAGATTAGTATTTGTGAAATGAATTTTTTTTAAGTATTAAATGTCATATTTGTACAATTTTTAAAATATTATACTTAATTTATGTGCTCTGATAAAACTTTCAAAACCTTTATTAATGTTTTTTACTGATTAGTGTACATTCTTGTGAAATAGGGATTAAAAGTTTTGGTTATGTTAGCAGGTGTGGGCTTAAGATAAACAATTAAAATATTATTGTTTTTTTCACATTTTAAAATTAATATATTCCATACTTTATACTGGAAAATCTAATGCAGAATTTTTTTTTTTTTTTTGCAATTCCTAAAATTTAACCTCATTCTACAGTTGGCTTGTAATTATTCCTTTTATTGGCAACACCTGATAAATACAGCAAAATGTTTAGATTCAAAATAGTCAAAGTTCTTTGAATGTTTAATCACTTATATGTATGTTGATAAGTTTCTGTATATCATGTTTTGATAAAGTTGATCTTTACTTCGTGGTTAGCATAACGAAGCTGTTGATTGAAGGGTCCAAGGTTTGGGTCATGATGTTGTTGAACATGCTGTGCATTTTAGTTGTGATCACATTATAAAAATGACTATCAGACTGATTCTTCAATTCAAAGACAAAGCTCTTGGAGTGACAGGTACTGTTGACTGGCTGCCCTCTCTTTCGTCAACAATTCAAAATTATGGATGGCTGTATCTATCACTAGGGGTTTCTGACCTAGCTCAGGTGCCATTCAGGCTGATAGTTCCAATATGCTACTTAAGGATATTAGTATCTCCATAAATTTTAATTTGATGCACTTAGCTTCAAGACTTTATAATATATAGTCACTGTAATCAGTTATAGCTACAACTATTTATGTTTGAGGTTAGAATCTGTGTTACGGTGAAGGAATGAGAATTAAACAGTTACAATGATTTCTTTTCACATATCCATTACCTTTAAACATACACTTGATTACTGCAAAAAACAAGCACCTCGTGGGTAACTTAGATGACTTTTATTACAGGTTAAATGTAATAATTATCCACTGATATTGATATAATGAAATAAAGAATACAAAAACAATATTTTCACTTTATACACAGATATGCTCTCTGACGAAGAAGAGTTCTACGATGCAGAATCTGATATAATTTTGGTAGCCTCTGGGAAAACTCTTAGGTGAGCTACTATTGTTTTGCTGTATGCTTTACAGTTTTTTGTTAATAATTTTTCATTGTTTAGAAGAATAAGCATGGTTTCGTGATCTGATACAAACTAATGAAAAAGGATTATTTTTATTGATCTTAGTTTATTCTTTACTTAATCAACAGTAGGAAGATTTAATAATTTTAAAAGTTTTAATTTTGATTATTAACTGAATCTCGTATTATTTCATGCATAGTCACATTTCATTCTTGTAAAATATGAGTTATTTTATTTATTAAATAGTAAAAACCATGATTAAGGTAATTGTTGTTTATTCACTATATGTGAAATTTGTTCAGTACTTATCAATAAGACAGTATTTATTTCCTTGTATGTTGGGCTCCAGTCTAATTCTTGTTTTAAACAGTTTGGTCTTTCTTCTCACAGATTTCAGAAATAAGTCAGATCAACTTGATTTTTAACAGGAAATCAGTTGATTTTGTTAATATTTTTCAAAATATGATTAATCTATATTAACAGGTGTGTTAACAAGAAACCAGTTAATCTTGTTAATATTTTTGAAAATAAAATTAATCTATATTAACATGTGTGTTAACAGGAAACCAGTAGATCTTGTTAATATTTTTCAAAATAAAATTAATCTGTATTAACATGTGTGTTAACAGGAAACCAGTAGATCTTGTTAATATTTTTAAAAATAAAATTAATCTGTATTAACATGTATATTAACAGGTGTGTTAACAAGAAATCAGTTGATCTTGTTAATATTTTTCAAAATATGATTAATCTATATTAACAGGTGTGTTAACAGGAAATCAGTTGATCTTGTTAATATTTTTCAAAATAAAATTAATCTGTATTAACGTGTGTTAACAGGAAATCAGTTGATCTTGTTAATATTTTTCAAAATAATATCAATCTATATTAACAGGTGTGTTTTAGATATTGAATATATCAGAAATTGCACATACTTTTAAACCAGATTTTTGTGTAATACAAATTTCATTACAGTAAAGAAAACTTATTCATCATTAAGATTTCCAATGACATATTCACTGAAACAAATGTTACTTTAGACGACAGTCGAGAGAGAAAAATCCGCTGCATGACCAGCTAGACACCGATAGTGGAGCCTCTTCGGATCTGGAAGAAAATAACTTTGTCAAAGCCCAGAATTCTAATTCTAGGGTATGTTTTGTTGTGATAGATTTCTTCATGCTCATCTGTTTCGTTATTTTGTTTTTCATCCAACAAATGCTTTGTGGGCTGCACTATTTTCTTACGGTTTGATGATACCTTTAATAAAGTTAACTATGATATTTACAATAACCACTTTACATATAATCTGTCATTCTCCATTACGTCCCCATACCCTTCTCCCAAAATCAATGTTACCAACCACTCCATTTCCACAACTGAAATAAAAATCAACATTAAGCATCTTAAAAATACGGTCCCTGGTGAGGAACCATTAGCAAACCCGTACTTAAAAACGTATATCTTGTGGTATTGGAAAATACTTCCCTGTTATGTAAAGTTCAGAATACTTCACATAAACAATGTCAAATTACTGATCACTTAGTGAGATTAATGGAAAGAGTGTTCCAACATTCTTATTGTAACTATAGAACTGTAGCAGTATTTTTAGATGTTAAAATGCTTTTATCTGTGTTTGGCACAAATTATTGAATTATAATGTTCTTACTATGGATATCTGATGGATTTCTAATTTTCTCTCTCTCGTCAATCTGCTAAAATGAAAAACAACAACACGATCTCTAACTTCACCCCATTATAAGCAGGTGTGCCACAAGGCTTCTCTTGATCATGTCGCCACCTGGTGCAATACATGGAGATTAATACTAAACCCAAACATAGCACAGGCAATAGTTTTTTTATTTGAAACAGCATCAACAGAAAACTAAGGAATTACCTTGTACTAAATTAGAATGTTATGACACACAGATAACTATCATTGATACAGGTAAATTTCTAGGGTTAGTATTCAGTATCCGACTTACAAGAAATCATCACTTGAATACAATCAGTCAAAAAGTAAGTGAGAGAGTAAGCTATCCTTTAAAAGTGGAGGAAGTGTTAATTAAAGATGGGTGATTAATTTGTTTGTTAATTGAGCATCAGTTAGTGTCCTATAAAAAAATTGGTTCGGTCATTTTGACTGATCTTTGAGGCAACTCCCACCTAATCAAAGTCTGAGCACTCCAAGTCTTCAAATCCAAATAGCCACTGTTGAGATGAGAAGAGGTTACTGATTAACTCAATTTTACCAAGTCTTCAAATCCAAATAGTCACTGTTGAGATGAGAAGAAGTTACTGATTAACTCAGTTTTCTCATCTCAACAGTGGCTATTTGGATTTGAAGACTTGGTAAGAAGTTACTGATTAACTCAGTTTTACCAAGTCTTCACTTCCAAATAGCTACAATTGAGATGAGAAGAGGTTACTGATTAACTCAATTTTACCAAGTCTTCAAATCCAAATAGTCACTGTTGAGATGAGAAGAAGTTACTGATTAACTCAATTTTAATGTAACTTCTGTCACTTTAATGTCACTTTCTAAGATATTTATGCACAAAATTACTTGTGGGTCGCCGACTTTGCTGATTACAGAGTCTCTAATAATATACAAGTAAAAAAAATCAAAACAGAAATACTCTGAATATTGCATATAATCCCATTAATTACTCTTGAAGTTATTTTACATAGACAGTGATTGATCAGTTTTTTACAATGTAATATATTCTCCCTACCAGCAACCTGCTTTCCCTTCAGTCACAAAAGCTACAAGTAGCTGAGGTTAAAGGTAAATTGTCACCTTAATCAAACTTGATAGGTCCATTAAAACACATTTTAGCCCAAGCATGTAATCTGGTGTACGTGTTCATTTATATCCAGAAGGATACTCAGAAATTCAAGATTTATGATTTTATAGAATATTCTGTATTTGATGATTAAATCGTACGATAAAATCTGTGAAACTAAAGTTAAAACGTTTCCTATAAAATGTTAGGAGATTTGAAATGATTTGTTTAATTTTATGAAAAAATATCCTGAAGTATAAAAGAACTTCGGTGACTTGAACAAAATAACCGTAACAACCCTTTTAATTTAATAATCTGTAGTAGTTTTTAAAATCATCATAATGTTTATTTAAATACTTCTTGAAAATATTTTCATCATGACTGTATTTTAAATAATATAACAGCGAAAGAATGATTCGGAAAAAGACATGGATAAGATGGTGGATGAAACAGATTACAGAAAACAAGGTGATGTGTCATCGGTAGGAAAGCGGAAACGGAGAATCTACATACCCGAGAAACCCAATTATAGCATCAACCTGTGGGCAATCATGAAGAACTGCATTGGGAAGGAACTGACAAAAATCCCAGTACCAGTCAGTATTATTAATAACTCTTTGTTGAAGTGTATAAGGAATTTATTCTTGAAAAATAGTGAGAAGAAAATAACACCATACACACCAAATAGCATTTTTGTCCACATTTTAAACTGGCTAACCTTTCTTTAGGAGTTGAGAAGCTATTAAATCTTAAACAGTTGTCACTGAAGATGTTTGATAAAACGATTTCGTCTTAATTATGTTACTCTGACATGCCAATGCTTTTTTAAATGCTTTTTTCATAAAAAACAATATATGTAAATAGTTTTGCCACTGTAAGTTACTGAATAATTTCCTTTTTTTTATTTACTTATTCCATGCTTTATTATGATTGTATTTTAGTCACTTTTAAATGATGTTTCAATAACGAAGATCATGTTTTGAAGTCACATTGATTCTTTTTACACACGTCTTTTTTATTAAAGTTTTTAATGTCCTTCTGTTGAATTTTAATGAAACTTGCCACACATATTAAATAAGTGTGATTTAGTTTGTATTAAGTCACTGAGTTATAGGACGTACCTTTACCTTTTTTATATTCTTATAAATTAGAAAAGTCACAGATGGATTCTTAAAAACATGATAGAAACATATAAGTCAAGGTATATTTGCAGGTGAGATTCATTCGTTAAACCAAAATCACTTATCTGTTAACTAGTGATCTTTGTATCTGTTAATCGTTTATTAAAGTGATCCTTATGACTATTGATTGGTGGTTATTATGTATGTTAAATAATGACCACTGTCAACTAGAGACATAAACATCAGTGTCGAAAGTGTAAGATCACGAGAATGCTTAAAATGTTGCTCAGCTTATTTGTTAAAATTCTAGAATAATTATTGTAGCAAGGTCACGAGAATGATTAAAATGTTGCTCAGCTTATTTGTTAAAATTCTAGAATAATTATTGTAGCTGAACTTTGTGTTAAGACTAAGCATATGAGTCGAGGAAATTGATTAATGTGAAATGTTTTTTACATTTCCTGAAAAGAATCTTCCATTCACAAAACTGCCATGTGTTTCTTTCAGTTTGGGCAAGATACTCTTTCTTTTGCCATTTTTTTTAAGCTTTTGTATCTTCTTTGCCTTCAATTCTTTACTCAACAATTAGTGTACATATGTAAAATGCCAGAATTAAATAGTAAAATCTGAAGCCCCCCCCTCCCCAATGCCACGACGGTATGTCTGCAGACTCACAATGCTAGAAACTGGGTTTCGCTACCCGTGGTGGGCACAGTGCAGATAGCCCATTGTGTAGCTTTGTGGTTAACTACAAACAAACAAGGTCTGAAATAAACAGATACCACTTGGAGTGATATTATGCTCATGTAGCTAGAATGTTTTTGAAATAGTTATAAAACAATTCTCCATTGATATTTTTCAGGTAAATTTTAATGAACCACTCTCCACTCTTCAACGACTAACTGAAGAATACGAGTATTCCAGACTTCTAGACAAAGCAAGCCGTTGTAAGGACAGCTGTGAGCAGATGGCTTTTGTTGCCGCCTATACCGTTTCAGCATACGCTACCACTAGTAATCGCTCAAGTAAACCCTTCAATCCTCTCTTAGGCGAGACTTACGAGTGTGACAGAATGGATGACCTTGGCTGGAGATGTCTTTCAGAACAAGTGAGATGGTTACAACAAGTAATAATTACTGTACGAGATAAGTAATAAAATGTTAATCTAAGTTGGGGATTATTTAATTGAGATTATTGTTTCATAATACAAGTTAAATACCAATATTTATATCTACAATGTCCAGTTTTTAGATTATAATAGGCTTGAATATACAACTGGTAGATAGGAAAAATTATCAAACATGCAACTTCTCATTTTGAAAGGTTAATTTGCAGAAACAGATGACAATTACTGGCTTCGACCGTTTGAAGGCACTAGCAACTGGTCGATTTTTTCTTTTCCACTAGCAAATTCAGGACTGCTACTAGCAAAATTTTCTTTTTGAAATTATTATTTAACTGTAACTATGTCACAATTAACTATTTCAAGTATTAAATGTTACTAAGTATGTATATATCCTACTTATATGTATAAATCTTCTGTGCCATGCTTTTTTTTTTTTTTCTATATATTTTCGAATATCAAAACTCATTTTAATGAAATGTAACTATTGTTTTTATTTTAACTATTTCACAAAAAGTTAAAAGATGCAACATTTGGATGGAAACCGGATCGTCAGTCTACAGTAACCCACTGCTGATGGCCACCCTATACTAAAATACTTTTATTATTAATTATGTGTTCATTTGATTATGGAGAAGAAATGTTATTCCGTAATACGAGTAATTATTTTTCTTGTTTCTGTTAATTGTCAGTGCTATAAACATTACTAACCAAGGCAATTTTGTATTCTGAAACTTAGCATGAAGCATTTCTCCACAGATATAGTCGATTAGTACAATACTAAAATATCAGTAGCGACATTTGAAGGAATTATGACCCCTCTCCCACTTTTTTTTCTCCAGTGATTTTCAATCAACTCCATGTTGTCGATGATGGGTAACCTACTATTGTGATTCTAATCAGTCTTCTTATCAAATATTTATCTGTTTTCATACACTTTTTTTCCACACTTGGTCTCAAGTTTTGTGTGTCAACAAGCATAGGGGACTAGCATGAAAATTAAGGATTATGTTATGTGGAAAACGAAAAGAGGGATGTCAATAAAAATACAGATTACGGATAAGTGAACCAAACCAGAAATTACTGAAGAAAACATTGAAATCAATTGCACTCTTTACGCTCCTTCCCAGGTCTACCTGTACCATCCCCATTTCCTGATACTTTGTTTGGATATTCTATACAGCTCAAACATGGATAACAGAACTGTCATTGCACCACAAGTGAAACAGTTTTGTTAATCACAGTTGTAGGAACCTTCTGTGCTCAGTATAAATGTTTGAAATGCGTGCATCACGTGTTTACTGACAGTCTACGATAAGGATATATAATTAATATTCCTTTTCGAATGTATACTAGCAGTTTTTTTTTTTTAGTGCCTTCTAACCAGCAATTTGCTGGCTGCTAATGTTAATTTTGAGCCCTGTGATCAGTATTATTAGGATATATATACCAAACACAATAGAAATAAATGATAATACCACTAAATTTTACCTTTTATTTTCATCTGTTTCAGTAGCACAGTTGTTAAAAAACGTTTGTCTGGAATTTTGTACAGCTAAAGTATTATATGTAAAAATTGTACCTTGAGCTGTATCATCTTCACAGCTAAAGTATTATATGTAAAAATTGTACCTTGAGCTGTATCATCTTCACAGCTAAAGTATTGTGTGTAAAAATTGTACCTTGAGCTGTATCATCTTCACAGCTAAAGTATTATATGTAAAAATTGTATTTTGAGCTGTATCATCTTCTGTGCACAAGATATTTAATAGATTATAATAGGGTATTAATTCCTTTTGTTTCCATATTTAGTTGTAACATCAGCTATTCTGAAGATTGTTTTCAAAGCTTGTACTGTAAAATGTAATTATTTGGCCCTTAAACACAGGTCAGAAGGTTCAAAGTCACCAGCTTGACCTTGCTTATATAGGTGGCATGTGAAATAATTTAGCACTTAATATGGTTACCATCTTGTATTCTGATTTCTTGACAAATGTAATAATAGAATTAGAACAGTTTATAAATATGTTGATTCAGTTCCATGTGGAATAGTATGATGAAAACAAAAACAAAATGTTTGTGTATTACTTTGACACATGACTAGGTAAGCCACCATCCTCCAATGTTGTCTCAGTATTGTGAAGGAAAGTCTGGGTGGAAATGCTGGCAGGAATTCACAATGTCCAGCAAGTTTCGGGGGAAGTATCTTCAAATCATTCCCCTTGGTATTGCTCACTTGGAATTCCCAGATACTGGACATCACTACACATGGCGAAAAGTGACAACTTATGTTCACAACATCATCTTTGGAAGATTATGGGTTGACCACCAGGGTGAAATGGACATAATCAACCATACTACGGGGGATAAGTGCCACCTGAAGTTTGTTGCCTACAGCTACTTCTCTCGTGATACTCCTAGAAAGGTTAGTTTCTCTCGGGTAATGTTTGTTGTTGTTATGTTAATAAACTCATATACCGTCACTTATATTTAAGTTTGAAATCCTATAGTGCTTTACAGGAAGTGAGAGCCCAGTTTAACCATGGACTTACCAATAGAATTAACATTGATTTTTTGTTTCTTAAACTATTTATGTACCAGATTTGCTTTGTTTGTTATAGGTTTCCTAATGATGTAAGGCTAACCCCAGAAAAATGTAAACAGATACCATTAATATTGCTATTAATCCAACCAATTACTGCATGCTCCCCCGTGTATTGTACATAGAAAATTATTTCTTACATTTTTTTGGTCAGCTCTTTACAGTGAATGTTTTGACAAACATAAGCTAATGTGATATGATGCAATATGTGGATCCCAGTAGCAGCAAACTATATAAAAAGTGTAATATGTGGATCCCAGTAGCAGCAAACTATATAAAAAGTGTAATATGTGGATCCCAGTAGCAGCAAACTATATAAAAAGTGTAATATGTGGATCCCAGTAGCAGCAAACTATATAAAAAGTGTAATATCTGGATCCCAGTAGCAGCAAACTATATAAAAAGTGTAACATGTGGATCCCAGTAGCAGCGAGCTATATAAAAAGTGTAACATGTGGATCCCAGTAGCAGCGAGCTATATAAAAAGTGTAATATGTGGATCCAAGTAGCAGCGAGCTATATAAAAAGTGTAATATGTGGATCCCAGTAGCAGCAAACTATTTATAAACAAGTGTAATATGTGGATCCCAGTAGCAGCAAACTATATATAAACAAGTGTAATATGTGGATCTCAGTAGCAGCAAACTATATAAAAAGTGTAATATGTGGATCCCAGTAGCAGCAAACTATACAAAAACAAGTGTAATATATGGACCCCAGTAGCAGCAAACTATACAAAAACAAGTGTAATATATGGATTTCAGTAGCAGCAAACTATATAAAAAGTGTAACATGTAGATCTCAGTAGCAGCAAACTATATAAAAACAAGTGCAACACAAACTTTTTTCCGCTCAACATCTGTTGTTTTTTTTCTGAGAGCAAATGATGCTATTAAAATATCAAAAAAATATATCTGATCTCCTCTTTTAGATCAACTGCAAAAGAAAATTATAACTGAAATTGTCAAATATCTGAGGAGAGGAAAATATTGGATAATTACACACCAAAATTTAGTGACATCTACTATGCAGAACTGTTAAAAGTTAAGCAGTCTTAGCTTTAGAAAAAGTGTTTGAGGTGTTCTTTGTGCTGTTATAATTTTAAGAATAGCTGAGTGGGTTCAAATAGATTAAGAAAAATATATTTTTTTAGGAAAAAGTTTGAAATTGTTAAATTAGGAATAATTAGTTGAAATGACAGAAAACTCACAACTTATTGATCTGATAGTTAATAATGATTAGTAATAATTTGTTCAAAATTAACCACTTATTTGCACATCCATGAGATTTCATAAAATAAAATATGATAAAAAAAACCTCAATGGTTTTTATTGTACTTGTAGTTTAGTGGTTCATAAAAGTTTAGGCAGACAGCAAGCTGGTCCCCGCTATCAAGAAGGTTTAAGAAACACATATCAATTGTGATTACACTTTCTGTAAATTTTGGCTTGAGCTTTAAGTAGTGCTGAAATTTTGTTCATACTTAGGGTCTGTTAATGTACCCATTGAGTAAGTCGCTAGAAATCTCTAAACGTTTCTTTTAATTGTTTAAATATCTTTAATGATAAAAAAAATAGAGATCCAATCTGATTATGCACAAAACTTTTACAGTTGGCATATCTTCTGTAAAAGATCTGTTTTATTATTACTTCAAATTAGATGTATTTAGTTTTACTCATTCTGATATTTACATAATTTCCAAAATTAGATGTAGTTTGTTTAAAACAGTTCTGGTCAGGTGTGAAATTCTCAACAAAGAATGCTAGTACTCATACATACATCAAAGGATTTCGCTAAATCTCTAATATTTTAAGTACAGTTGTACTTAATAGTAGGGATCGACAAGGATTCCAAATAATTCACTCACTGAAAAACCACCCTATTGCATTCCTAAGTGAAAAACTGACCATTCCAAGTATTACTTACGATATATTATGTGCATTTATGCAAATAATATGCTAGAAAGGTCGCTAACATTTCTGGTGTAAAACAACAACTTTTTCATCTATTACCTACCTGATCATGTCAGCAGGCCTAGCACCTAGGTGGCTTGGACTATCAGTACAAGATTTCTCCAGCTTACTTGACTGGTCCGTGGGTATCCGCTTTTGATATTCCGATAAAAATCCATACATATATCCCAAAATAGGGATTAAATTTTATAAATTTGTGATTGTGGTTATAATTCTTGTTTCATTACTTTTTATAGCAGGATTCCTACTTTATTTTAAAGTTCATAATTTTTTAATACTCTTGTATAATATAGTTTACTTAAAAAAAGGGGGACACACATGCAAACATTGTTTTGATGGTTTTAAAGAAACAAATATGTATTAAACGGGCATTATTATAAACTTACCTCAGGTGGTTTTTTGCATCCAATTCCATTGAATGACAAAAGATGTCATACACACTAGTATAACAGGTGGGTACCACTCACGGCACTTCAACCAAAAAAATGTCATTTGGATATATTTATCATTAATGACCAATCGTACAAGTTACACAGTTTGATGAGACTGCCTGATAATATTGATTGACTTTAAAGTTGCTAAATAACTTCTCATGATCTTGTTGCCAATAGGAACAAATATTGTCAGGTAATTTATTGGTTCATTTGACGAATATTTAATGATTGTGTGAGTTGTAATGTGTCTGCTTGTTGACAGTGTGATAGATGGATGTAAAACAGATCAAATAAGTCCTGGTACTGATTATCGACATTAAAATAAGTGCCGAATGCCAGTGAATATTAGCAGAATTTCATCCCCCGATCGTGAAGTTCCACTACGTCGTCGGAGCAAACTAAAGGAAGGAACATTTAATTCATAATATTAAGCTCTCTATATGTCATATCATTTGACAAGAATTGGTAAATTTTCAGTGTTGTCTTACCTTAGGTAACTGGTGTGGTTTATGACAAGGAAGGAAACCACCAATGGATTCTGCAGGGAATGTGGGATAACAAAATGGAAGGAGCTAAAGTTCTGAAAGTAAACAGCAGTGGAAATGGAAAGCCAGTTGTCGAAACTGCAACCTATAAGCTTTTATGGAAACGTGTGATGCCTTTGTAAGTTTACTTGCTAGTTTATTTTTCACGATTCTGAAATAATAACTTTATATTAAAAATGTGAGACTCGTTATACGAGTTTGAAAATTTTTTTTATTGTACAACTGGTAATAAAAATGGGTAAAAGTATTGTGTGACAGGCCACGAGTCAAAGGTTTGGTCGGTAAACAGTTCCTGCTGTTTTTCTGTACAATTAAGTACAACTTGATGAAGGTTTTCAACATAGAATTCACTGTATGCAAGTAGAGTGAAATGTTTTAAAATTCCTTAGACCATTCACGCTTATTAAACACATTTTTTTCAGAAGATGAAATCCCGTTCTTTCACTTATATACAAACTAGTGTTAAAAGGCTTAATACGGCTACTTTACAATACTTATAATCATGCTATATAAAGTTAACTGTTCGTAGTATTTTCTTTACATGGAATAGATACGTGCTTACAAGTTGTCTACAAATGGGGATTATGTAATGTTTCGTAGAGATCAAGCCGTATAATAATTTATAAGCAGCGACAAAATTAACAGTACAGTTAAAACTTGAAGTCAAAGTATTTTTTTCGTTATGTAAAAGTAAACGCGCATACAAGTTATAAAATATTTGCGAGTAAGATCAACATGAAATTTTTGTATTATGCTATTTTTATATATTTTAAACACACTTTCAAATTCTGCATGTCCTCACAAAGTATTTCGTTAATTTATTTTTCACAAGTTTCTGTAAATAAATAATTTAAATCATCTTGAAACAAGTTCAGAAAATTTGTTATTGATATAATCAACATTTCCACTAAAGAGAAGTTCCACTTGAAAAAAATAAAATAAAAATCAATTGACCAGAAGGCCTCGGCAGAATCTTTAGTTTTGAATAGTTATAACATTTTCGATTATCTGTTGCTTTAAAAGATGATTTAACTTTGTTGAGGTAATTTTATTTATGTCCTATTAATATATTCTTGTGAGCGAAAGGGGGTCAATTATTCAGTTAGTTTTTACAGTGATGATCGTTACACTTTTGTAATCCCATTGAGAGAGCATTTTTAAAATGATATTTTATTTTATATATAGACACACACACATACATACAGGTCTGGCTGCAACCATACACTAAAATGTGGCTGAAACAAGTAAGAATTTGACCTGCTAATTTATTACTATTTTATAGTCATCTGGAACACACTTGTGAGCTGCTTATTTTTCTATCACATTTCAACTTCTGATGAAACATAGATGGTAACTATTTAGATGCCTCAAGTTAATTTTTTGTTTTTACATATTTCCAAAACTGTGATGAAGCTAAACTTTAACTACTAAAACCGTCTAACACTGTTTATCCCTTACCTGGTGCACTTGACACAGGCTAGAGTACGAGAAAATGTACAACTTCACAGTACTAGCCTGCCAGCTTAATGAACCTGAGGAGGGAGTGGCCCTCACTGATAGCAGACTCCGCCCAGATCAGCGTCTTATGGAAGAAACGAAGTGGGATGAAGCTAATGAAGTTAAGTTGAAACTAGAAGAAAAGCAGCGAGCAAACAGACGGCAGCTTGAATGTGAAGCACAACAAGCTGCGGCAGAAGGTAAAATATACAGATATAATTTTAACGTTCTAGTGCTTACATGCAAGGTTACGTACTTGTTTGTAATTTATTCAGAACTTGTGATATTTAATGTGTTTGTCATCTGTAATTTTAATGTTCTAGTGCTAACATGCAAAGTTACATATTTGTTTGTATTTTATTCAGAACTTGTGATATTTAATGTGTTTGTCATCTATAATTTTAATGTTCTAGTGCTTACATGCAAAGTTACGTATTTGCTTGTATTTTATTCAGAACTTGTGATATTTACAGTGTTTGTTCTCTGTGTGTCTTCTGCAACACTGTATTTAGAAGTACTTGCGATAAAAAAATATTCTGATATAATTTCAAACAAAATAATAAATAATCTTACCTACCTTTAAAAGTTTTATATTAAATAAATAAAGACTAATATCTTAGCAGTTAAAATAGTGTATCAATGTACATATTTGTTGTATAGGCTGGAGAATATTATACATTTTTAAGTACAAAACAAACTTATCATTACAAACAAATGTTACTAATGTTTGTTGTTTTATCTTTTTATTTCTTTACCAAGCCTAATCAGTACAGATTAACATCTACAAAATGTTATTGGGTTTTCATTAAAGTGGTCACTAGAAGTAAAGGTTACCTTGTATTTAAAAGAAGGAAGCGGTAAATATTAATAAACTGTGTTTGAAACCTGATACTTAATAAACGTTAAGAAGCTGTAAATTCACCTTGTGGTGAAATTCTATACTAAGAATGTCAGGATAAGTGTCTACTCTTCTCGGGAACAAGAAACATTTGAGCAGGAATATTTATGTAGTTGTAATGAGTGTAAATTACAAATGACACGCTTTTCCACTCTGAGACAAGTTTATATTATCAAGTTAAAAAAAGTACAAAATAGATCAAGAATTTGTTATATATATGTACTTCTTTTACAGGCCGGGCCTACACAGGATACGAGCCAGTTTGGTTTAAGCAACAGTCAGACCCCATCACTGGAAACCCCGTTCACATCTACCAGGGAAGATACTGGGAATGCAAGGCTCGACAGGACTGGTCGATGTGTCCTGATATCTTTTCACTCCCAGAATGAATGAATGTAGTTGTAGTATTCTTAGTTATTCACAATTGTGAAAAGAGATGAACAAAATTAAAAAAACAATCAGATTGCTCATGTATGAGTTCTAAGTGCACTTTTAGGAGCTGAAATTGTGATCAGTAGAATACAGGTTGTACACATCCATTAGTGGTGCTGTCGTCTCCAGCTAAAGTAGACTTCTTATCTAGATTAATTGATTGAGGAATTATTTGTGCACGTCACCGTGTCGTCAACTTAAAAGGTTGAGCTGTCTCAAATTTGGTTCAAGATTGTCGTGTAATTTCTAACAATTAGGAGAACAAAATGCATATATATATATGAGAAGTCATTTAGATAGTAAAGATCGTATAAAAATAAGTATTTAGAATTCTTAGTCCCATAGTAATAGAAGAATATAAAAGAACAGACATTGATAGTTTATTTGGTATATTCTGACATGCTTAAGAAGAATGATATTACTTTCAGAATTAATCAAAGCATGGAAGGAGTTGACATTGCTTCAAGAATGTATTTAAAGGCTGTGATTGTTCAAGTGTTACCATAATGGTCTTAAGATCGAAGTTGTTTTGCATGTAGTTGTAAATACAATGCCTTAAATGGTCCTTGGTGTAATAAGTATGTACTATAGTCCTTTAGTGGCGAATTAGTGAACCCTATCTAAAGATTTGTTGATGCACCATTACCAAGGTTTGATTATTAAGTAAGCTTATACAAATCTATCCCACTTCATCGTCTACTAAGTCTGTCTAATTTCGTCCTTCTGCTAACTTCAGTCATACAAATCTGTCTAGTCTAGTCCTTTAAACAACTTCAGTCATACAGATCTGTCTAGTTCTTTTACCAACTTCAGTTATACAAATCTGTCTAGTCTAGTCCTTTAACAACTTCAGTCACACAAATCTGTCTAGTCTAGTCCTTTAACCAACTTCAGTCATACAGATCTGTCTAGTCTAGTCCTTTAACCAACTTCAGTTATACAAATCTCTCTAGTCTAGTCCTTTAACCAACTTCTGTCATACAAATCTGTCTAGTCTAGTCCTTTAACCAACTTCAGTTATACAAATCTGTCTAGTCCTTTAACCAACTTCAGTTACACAAATCTGTCTAGTCTAGTCCTTTAACCAACTTCAGTTATACAAATCTCTCTAGTCTAGTCCTTTAACCAACTTCTGTCATACAAATCTGTCTAGTCCTTTAACCTACTTCAGTCATACAAATCTGTCTAGTCCTTTAAACAACTTCAGTCACACAAATCTGTCTAGTCCTTTAACCAACTTCAGTTATACAAATCTGTCTAGTCCTTTAACCAACTTATATATATATATATATGTCTATCTAGTCTAGTCCTACCAATTTTTTTCCTACAAGTCTGTTTACTTTAGTTCCACCAGTTTCATTCATACAAGTCCATCTGCTATCTTCACTCTTATGTATCTATCTAATTCTAGTCATTCTAATGTCAATGTTATATGTGTGTTTAGTGTATTCCTTCTACTAGCATCTCTGGTCTAGTCCTTCTACGTACATCACTCATAAATATTTATAGAGTGTATTCTTTCTACCAACTTCACGCTTAAACATATATTTAATATTTCTACTAACTTTTTTGAAATGTTATGACACTTCTGAAATATAGTTACGTTTTCACTGGATATCAGCAATAAAACATTTACTTCTCTTGAATTTGGGTAATTTACGATGCAAAAAATGTTTGTTTTTTTCTTCTGGGTGGGGCATCAATGGCCCATCGAACTTTTCTCTAATCAGTTGTTTTCATACCTGATAAGATAGATAACTCACTTGAATGAATAAATTAAAACTATTATGGCTATCAGAACTAACAAGTTAGTAGTCATGTTTTATTACTTGCATGATAATTCTCTAATATTTTTCATTTGTTTCTCCAAATATGATGCATGTATACTAAAACTTAACTTTGAAAAGGTTTCTGTCTTTAGTGTTCCAGTTTGCTTACATTGTCCTCCTTTACAATTTAAACACGAAAAATTGAGACCATTCATGTTACTCGAAGATGAGTCTCTCACTTAACTGTAATGTATTGAGGTCTCTTTAAGTTAGAACTTATATTTCAGAAGGAGAACCTGTTCTCTGTTGTTGGCCACTGTTTTTCTAAGTTGAATTATGATGGTTTCCGATATGTGTAGATCATTTTATTGCTGGCTTATAAAACAATGTTGAACTGATTTGGATGGCTGAATTAGAATGCACTCCAACCTGTGTTTGCCAATGCAAGTGGAATACAGAGTTTTACTGGTGGTTGAACCATTGTACCCAAGTTTTGAACTTGGTCATGCATAGAGATATGCTGTAGAGGACTTCTGTGTAAAGTCAGTATAGTCCTGAAGGGTAAACATGGTTATTAGGCTGTTTTGTGTTTTAAAGATACAATGGAGTTGTAACTATGACTAATTTAAGGGAATTATTTTCCTAATTTTATTTTTATATGTAATGTCAATTGATCATGATTAATAATTATTTATTATGTAGGTAAGGCGAGTATTGTGAAAATATTAAATTGCTTCTTTTGGCTAAAAGACTTGATAGTATCAAAAATGGTACTTGTTATACTTGCAAATAATGCCGAGTTATTCAGTTGCTGTTTTTGTTTCATTTTGTGAAAGAAAAATTCAGGAGTTTTTGGGTACATGGTTGGTTAATACTTATTTACCGAACAAAATGTTTAGTTTTGACTCATTGGTTTTATTTTTAACTTCTGTTTATGATCAAGGTTTCTGAATGTTTTTTTTCTTTTTTAGATTTGTTGCATGCTGTATTGTTAAGCCTTTTCAGTTTTATACCTTTTGTTTAGAAAGGTATAAGATAAAGATTTTTCATTAATATTGTTATTTTTTTATATGCATGTTTCAGTGGGATATGGAAGACAACATGGCTGAATAAGGTTGAAAGCTATGTTCCTTAATAATACATACTCATTTGTTAAAGTGAATGATTTGTACATTGTTTTATTAGAGTTGTTCGCTCAATCAATCGGTATACGATGTGTATTATAAGCTATCAGAAGAAGCAACATCTAATTTCCAGTTTTGTTGAGAGAACTTTTATGTACTATGAGCTTTGTGTACAAATTGAAATTGGCTGCATTCATGTTATTTGATATTTTACTTTTGGTGACATATCTTTCAGAAATGGTCAAGTTTATATGAGCAAAGAAAGATCTTGTTCGTTTAAAGGCTTAATGGAATCATGTATTGTAGTTTTCATTACTAAAGGAAACACAGATAACATTGGATGTTAAATAGGCTTACAATAGATAATTGTACTTCAAACATTTATGGTGTTGTTATAAGAGTAGCTTAGATGACTAAAAATAACAAACATGATGTAATGATGTAATTTTTCCTATGGTTTTCGATTTTACATATATGTGGTTTGTAAACTTTTTAATTTAGTTGAAATGTAAAGCTGTTTCATTTTGGTCTGAAATATAATTTTTACCATTCTTTTAAGATGTTCATGAAATTGGTTCTACAGTTTTCAAGAACAATGAAAAAAGAAACTAACATCATGGTTTTGAATCCTCTTTTTGAATATCAGAAAAAAAAACTAAAGTAAAAAAAAATATTTAAGCAATTTATGACCCTGTTGTGGTGTTTATAGTTGTTTTATTTCTCTTAATTTTCCGAGTTTTAAATATATAGGTATTAACTTTCGAAATAGTTTAACGGGAACATCAGTGCAGGACTATAAAATTTTGCAGATGTTAATAAAACTGTTACGTATCATACTGTCATGTTGTGCAAAAATATCGTAGCTTATTAAGTTTGAGTGAAGTTAAGTGTATACACTTCTGTATAATCAATAGAAATCTTGTGACAGTAACAGGGGTGTTATTCTGTATCGGTAAAGTGCGCTTCATAGGTGAGGAAAACTTGTGACAGTAACAGAGGTGTTATTCAGTATCCGTAAAGTGCACTTCATAGGTGAGGAAAACTTGTGACAGTAACAGGGGTGTTATTCTGTATCGGTAAAGTGCGCTTCATAGGTGAGGAAAACTTGTGACAGTAACAGAGATGTTATTCAGTATCGGTAAAGTGCGCTTCATAGGTGAGGAAAACTTGTGACAGTAACAGAGGTGTTATTCAGTATCCGTAAAGTGCACTTCATAGGTGAGGAAAACTTGTGACAGTAACAGGGGTGTTATTCTGTATCGGTAAAGTGCGCTTCATAGGTGAGGAAAACTTGTGACAGTAACAGGGGTGTTATTCTGTATCGATAAAGTGCACTTCTTAGGTGAGGAAAACTTGTGACAGTAACAGGGGTGTTATTCAGTATCGGTAAAGTGCGCTTCATAGGTGAGGAAAACTTGTGACAGTAACAGAGGTGTTATTCAGTATCGGTAAAGTGCGCTTCATAGGTGAGGAAAACTTGTGACAGTAACAGGGGTGTTATTCAGTATCGGTAAAGTGCGCTTCATAGGTGAGGAAAACTTGTGACAGTAACAGGGGTGTTATTCTGTATCGGTAAAGTGCGCTTCATAGGTGAGGAAAACTTGTGACAGTAACAGGGGTGTTATTCTGTATCGATAAAGTGCGCTTCATAGGTGAGGAAAACTTGTGACAGTAACAGGGGTGTTATTCTGTATCGGTAAAGTGCACTTCATAGGTGACTCTGAAAAATGAAACGTTTTGATAAATTGAAAGATAAGTTTAGTCACATAGTCCTAGATCATTTTATGAAGTAAATCAATGAAGTTGTACTATATATATTAATAAATCCTTCACCAAACAAACAACAGAAAAATACTTGTACCTATAATTATTTATGTACAGTAACTGTTATATAAGTAAAACAACGATCCCTCCTTTTTTTTTATCCCCTTGGATTTAATTTGGTGTGTCTGTTGTATTATGATTGAAGCAGTTATTTTGTGTTTTTTAACTTTAGCCTTTAAAAGAAAGAGAGCATAACAAAACAATTCATGTTCTTACCGTGAATGTTGATTTAAAAGTTACTGACACACTTATAACAGTGAAGGAAATGAAATCTGACTGGTTGTGTTTATAATGTAAGAGTGAAAACTTTGGTATTTATTAAGATGTTTCTTAATGCTAATGAGAGAAATATGCTTAACTTTTGTTTTATGCTTAATATCTTTTAAATAGTCTTCGCTTGTTTTAACATGCTCAAATTTCCAGTGAGTGACTGTTTGAACACTTGAAAGGGGGGACAGCTGGTTAATTTGTTTATATGTATACAAAGTACTACAGTGTTTCATTGCAACGAATAGGAATTATTTTCCATTATAAAATTCAGTTGAGAAAGTAGAACTGCTTAAAAATGTTACAATGCATCCCATACTTCATTGTAAAATAGAAGAATGTAATAACAGGGTTTCTCATGACTTTTAGTTTTATATACACATGCATGCCTAACTTGAAATATTTACTAAGCATTAATTTATGTTAGGTCATTCCTTTTGTTTAGTATATTCTCTCAATTCAGAAAAATAACATTATATGCTAAATACTTATATATATATATATATATATATGTATTATTTCCGGT